GTTTTTTGCCTTCAAGGACAAGTGGGGTGCCCCTCCTGACCTGGGTTCCTACTGCCAAAGGTCCACTGGCTTGCATTTTTTCTTGGAGAGAAGCGAAGGAATATTCTCTGGTCCCAGAAAGAACCGAACCTGAGCCAGCTTCCCCTGCTGTTCAGTTAAACAGGTTGCAATGGCCCATATACCATGCTCTTACTTGTCTTATTCCTCTGTTTACCAGCCAAAGTGACCCTGTGCCATGAGGTCTGGGGCCCCATAGCCTACCCGAGGCGGTCAGTGTGAGCCAGCGCTTAGCAGTTTCACCCTGTCAACAGTGCCAGAAACCTTGGTGCTCCTCTTCCAGCCTTTCTGGCCTCCTTCCTTCGGGCACAAAGCCAGTCCTGCTCTCCCTTTTGGAGTTCTTTGTAAGACTCTGCCTGTGATGAGCTCCTGACTCCCCGGCTGGAGGCCCAGCAACTCGTACAGTCTGAGTTTGACCCGGAGGCACCGAGGATATGGGGGTGGGCGGCTCCTGAAACTCAGTCCTGGTGGTGTGGACACAAAACCGCGGACTTTGGCTCATTGCGCCTCACCCTTAAAAAAAAAAATCCAAAACAACCCCAGAAGGCTCCAGTGACATAGTCAGGTAGCTTCTTGGGCCTGTAGCCCTGTGCCCCCTAATCCTACTGGAGTTTGTGTGTTCTCTGATACACCAGGGCCTTCTGCTTCCAGGAGTTTCTCGCTGGGGCTTCTCAATGCCGGAAATGGAGTTTATTACTTTTGGAAGGATGGTTGGGAGGTTGGTGGGTGCCCTGGGCTGTGAGTCGAGCAAGAAAGGGCACAGACAGGGTGCCCTGGACCCCGGGTGGATGCTGCCTCTGCGGCACCTGGTGACCTGTATCCCTAGTGCCCTGAGACACAATTTGGTGAAAAATTGAAGGGGGTGGATCAGAGGTCAGAACCAGTCCCCCTTCATTCCAAGCCCTGCCCCACACCGAAGTGGGGACAGGGAATGGAGTGGTATGGAGAGGTGTCTTCCTGGTGCACACTGAACAGCGGGTGAGCAGGAGACTAGGACCTAGTGGAGCGCAGCGTCCAGGACACCCAGCACCAAGTGGGTCTGGATGCAGGTCCTGGGAGGTTGGACCATCCTCCAGATTTCAGGTGATGCCCAAAGACAGTGGTGACTCCAGGGCTGCCTTTCATGCCGCACCCGGAGCCGGGCTCTAGGGGCGGTGAGCGCTGTCTCTTTAAGGTCACTGCCTGCTCCGGCACGACGTAGGGAGGACAGCTGGGCACTGGCCATCTGACTGACTCCGGCTTGACATCTGGGAGCCCACTGGTGTGTGGCACGCGAAGCGCTTGATGCTGCTATTTAAATGCAAATGCGAGGGGGCTCATTGAAGCCTCTCCCCGTAAATCCGCACAAAAGGAATACTTCCCACCCTCCAAGGAGGCAGCGGCGGCGGCGGCAGGTCTG